CCCTGGTGTCCTAACTTTAAATCCAGTGCTCACTATTCCTAGATTTGAGGGTCAGACCCTGATTTCAAATACATTATAAATCTTGATTGACTTGTATCATTAACCTGTATTCAAGACTTCAAAATTCATGGCCCATGGAGCATGACTGGCTAATCCTATTTTTTAAAAGTTAGAGAAAATATTAATCATACAGCTCCCTCCATATAGAATCAATTACATGCTCCTCCAGGCTAATCTCATCCTTCCAAATACAGACCCCAAAGGCATTACAGCTATGACATTAAAAGCATGAGGCACAGAATCACAGAATATTCCATCAGAAGTACCTCAGAGGCCATCTGGCCCAAGCCAGACCTGAACAGGTGTCTCTTCCACATCCCCAACAAGAGGTCATCCAGCCTGAAGAGCTCCAATAATGGGCAACTTGCTACCTTCAATGGTAGCTCGTTATATTTTGAGACAGCTCTCATTGTTAAGGAAGGCCTTCATTCTATTGAGCCCAAATCTGCCTTTCTGAAATTAGAATTCTTAGATCTGCCCTGTGGGAGCAGACAAAACAGGAGTATTTTCACTTACACATGACAGCCCTTCATTTACTTGTAGACAGCTATCTTGTATCCTTTAAGGCTTTTCTTCAAATATCCCCAGTTCCTCCAGTCAATTTTCTTGTGCTAGGATTTCCTGCCCCCTAATGGGAGAAGGGGAACTTTGGATTTCAGTCATGTCACTTCTTAGCTAGAGAGTACAAGACCCCCCAACTCCTTCCAAACGAGCCTGACAAAGCCTCTGATGAAATATCTTTGTCCATGGTGCTGAATACCCATTCACCCTCCACACTTAAGTGCTGAGTCTCCATAGTTCTATCATTCAATTCCCCTAACATAAGGAGTCAGGTCTTGTTATCCCCATTTTGCAGAGGAGGAAACTGAGGTAATGTGATTTACCCAAGGGATCACACCAGTGCTCTTTCCACTATCTTATGTAGAAATCTATGCTTCACACTATGGAGAAAACAAGAAGGTAAACAATCTGATGATCCCATGAATGCAGAAGAAATTGATGGGAGAGACAAAGCAAGCTAAGAATCAGGAGGGTGACCTAAAAGTAGTCAATACAGTTTTTCCTTCTTTGCCCTTCCTCCCTTACGTTCCACATTTGGGTAAAAAGGGAATCAGTCTTTTTGTTGAGGGAGGAGAAGGTGTATTTTCTGAAATAGCTTCTAAGCCTGGAGATTTGTTGGGAGAAGGACAGGAAAGGAACCTAGCTGAATATGAGGGAGGGAGGCTATGCAAATATTTCAAGGCAAATGGCAGTTCTGCACCCTTAATGATGCCTGGGCACTATGGGGGAAAGGATCCCTTTCTTTACTATCACAAAATGTCAAAGCCAAGAGGGGACTCACAAATCATCAAATCTGGCAGATTCATTTTACAGATGAGGAAACTGAGGCCCAGAGAGGAGAACCTGATTTACCAAAGACACTTGGCAAGTTAGCAGTAAAGCCAGGCCTAGAACCTAGATCCTTTTATTTGTGAAAAATCTATGCCTCCCAGGCCTTTCTCTGTTGTTTCCTCCTCCTCCTCTTTCTCTTCCTCCTCCTCCCTTTTCCATCCCTCTGCTTTGTCCTCTCAATTTCCCCTTCCCCCTCCACAATTCCTGGACAATGCAGCCAGATGGCAGAACTCTCAATTTCTCCATCCCTCTGGATACTCAGCAACCCACTATCAGAGGCTATCAAATCTGCTGATGTTTCTAAAAACAGACATAAGAGTGACATCTACAGAATCCCAGAATTTCAGCATTCATGGTATTCGTGAGGTTGGGAGATTCAAGAGTTGTAAGGACGCTTAAAAAGTATCTCATCTAACCCATGCCTCAATAGGTATCCCCTGCACAGCAGCTCCAAAAAAGTGATCTTCCCAGCCTCCCCTGGAAGACTCCCAGTGAGGGGAACCCACTACCCCCTGGGGTAACTCATTCCTTTTTCAGATAACTCCCATTTTTTTACATCAAGCCTAAATCTCTCTCTTAGTGACTGTCACCATTCATTCCTACCTCTTCCCTCTGGGGCCAAGCAGAACAAATTGAATCCCCCTTGCACATGGCCACCCTTTACGTGCTTTAATGTTCCCCACCCCCACCCGAGTCTTCTCTTCTCTAGGCTTAGTTCCCGCTACCCATCCCCCTATGACATAACCTCTAATCTTTTCATAAGACTGGACATCCTCTCTGGATGCATTCTAGCTCAACAGTGGCTTTCCTAAAAAGGAGTGCTCAGAGTGGAATACAATCTGCCAGAAATGGTCTACCCAGGTAGAATATGGCTGTACTCTTCTCACCCTAGTCCTGAGCACATAGCCTCTCTTAATCTAGCTTCAGATCTCATTAGCTTTCTTGGTTACTGCATCACATTGCACTTGAAATCCACTCAGACCTCAGTGGATCCACTCAGTCTTTTTCTGTTTGGTTTTCATACTGCCTCCATTTTGTATCAAATCCATGGTTTTAACCCAGTTATAAAACTTGGCATTTATCTATATTTAATTTCTTACTTGTCTTGGCTCATTTTTCCTAATCTGTCCAAGATCTTTTTTGGCTCCTGTCCCCATGACCCTACTGTGCATAGAGAACTGTGCCCAATGATGAGGGAAATAGAAAGTCTCTGCCCACATGGAGCTTCCAGTCTAGGAACAGGCGGGCTGAACAATTTTCACAGAATCTGATAGAATCTCCAAGCTGGAAGGGGCCTCAGAGGTGAGCTGAGTTAACCCCTACCTGAACAGGAATCCTCTGTATCTGTACATTATACCTAAGAAGCATGTGACGGGACAAAAATCACAATGTTTAGATCACGTCTTTTGCTCTCACCCTAAATGCTTTCCCTCCACCTTCACAACAGGTTCATAAGAGCCTGAAGAGAGGGTCACAGCTTGGTTTGAGCTTCATGATGAGCCCCAGCCCTGCCTATCTACTGAGCAACCATTCGATGGGCTTCTTCCAGTGCACAGATACCAGTCTTAAAATCTTGTACCCTCCCCTCTGAACCTCAGAGGTAACTGAAGATCCAGTTTAAATATTATTATCTGGAGCTGGAAGGGATTTTAGAGGGCATCTAGTCAGACCCCTTCATTTTACAGAGGAAGAAATAAGCACAAGATAAATGACTTGACCAAGGTCACACAGAATCTCAGAGTTGGAAGGGACCACTTAGTCCAATCTGTTTCTGAACAACAATCCCCTCAACAGCCTGCCTGACTGGTGATCATCCAGCCCAAGATCACACAGGTAGTAATTAATAGGAATAACTCACATTTATGTAGTGCTTTAAGGTTTACACAGAAGCATTAAAATCTGACTCTTATTTATTTATTTTACTTATATACTTATTTACTATTTACTTACTTATTCACTATACTTACATCCGCTCATCTGTCCCAGGCCCAGCCCTAAGTAAGGTGTAGCAAAATCACTTCTAGATGATGATGATGATGATGATGATGATGATGGTGATGATAATGATGACCAGTATTTATATAGAACTTTAAGGTTTTCAAAGTGACTTTATAAGTCTCATCTCATTTTATCCTCACAACAGCTCTAGGAGGTAGGTGCTATTATTATCCTCATTTTACAGATGAGGAAACTGAGGCACAGAGAATTTACATGACCTGCCCAGGGTCACACAGCCAGTAAGTCTCCAAAGCTAGATTTAAACTCAAGTCTTTGTGACTTGAAGTCCCAAACTCTATTCATTGCACTATCTAGCTACCAAGATCTCTTCTAGCCCTGGACATTATAGACCTTTAAATAAATAAATATTGATTTAGTTGTACGGAACTGAATAAATCATCCACCTCCAAAAGAAAACCAGTGATAAGAGGGTGGTCCCAGTGTCTATTGCTCACCTATTGGGGGGTGAGTCAGATATGGAATCCCTCTCTCTTCCTAACATGGGTGTTCACACCACTGGAGATAGATTAATCTCCCTCCTTACCCTGACGGTGAAATCTATTTCTCTCCTCCCCACTCCCAATCTCCATCCTCACATTGAGTGAAATTTATTTCCCTCCTCTTAAAGGAGGGTAGAGCAGGGGTGGGGAACCTGCAGCCTCAAGGCAACATGTAGCCCTCTAGGTCCTCAAGTGCAGCCCTTTGCATTCAATCAAATCCACTTGAGGCTGCACGTGAGGACCTAGAGGGCCACATGTGGTCTCGAGGCCACAGGTTCCCCACCCCTGGGTTAGAGACTACAGGTGAAGAATGAGACACACATAGTCAGACACTGCCAGTATAATGGTTTGTTATGTGAGAGGGTAGAAACATCCATTGGAGAATGGTTGAACAAGTTATAGTACATAGATATTATAGAATACTATTATGCTGTAAGAAATGATGAAGGAGATGGATTCAAAGGAACCTGAGAAGATTTACATGAACTTATGTAGAGTGAAGTGATCAGAAGCAGAAAAACAATTTATACAATAACACTGTAATGATGAACAATTTTGAAAGACTTAGGAACTCTGATAATCACAATGACCCCCCCACCACCGCCATCGCAGAGGACTCTCAGTGAAGCCAGCTGCCCATCTCCTGCCAGAGAAGCGATGGGAACAAGACGTGCAATGAGATAAACATTTTTGGACATGAATAACATGGGAATCTGTTTGCTTGTCTAGAAAGATTTGTTGCAAGGGTTTTATTTTTCCTCTTTTTTCTTTCAAATTACAGCGGAGGGGAGACAAAATAAATGTTTGTTAATGGGGAAAAAAAACCTGAGAAGTAGAGCTACAGGCTAGCCATGAGGCGCCATCAAAGTGTTGGTTTGTTTTGCCTCAGAAGTTGGGAACTACATATGTCATCAGACAAGGACAGTGTATTGATTTGTTTTGCTTAGCTGTCCGTTTTTTGGATTGGAGAGGATGCTACAGAATTTCACAGAGGGGGAGGAGAAGGTGCATTGGGAAATGTCAGCAATGTAGAAGAAAACACAACATCAATAAAATAAGAATGTTTTAATCTCCCCCTTAACACATCCAGCAACACCCCCCCAGACATCTACCACTGAATTTATCAAATGCCTACTATGTGCCAGGCCCTGGATCACTTCCCCCTTAGGGACCTCCCTTACTATACTATATTTCTGGTTACTTAGTTCAGCTTTAACCACACAGTATCCTCTTTCTCTCACATCCCAATTCAAACCCATTCCCATTTTTTTGGACCAAAGGGTCAAGCAAAAGGTTCCTGCCTCTTGACACTCCCCTCTTCCCTTACCACCAGGCCACATACTTTGTTACAATCATCACACCATGCCACACCTAGGAGGGGGGGTTGAAGTCCAGATGGAAAGGACTTTGGATTTGGAGTCAGAAAATGTGGGTTCTAAGTCTAGTTGACATGATCTACCTGTGTGATCTGGGCAAATTAATTTCCTTCTATAGCCTCAGTATTCTCCTCTGCAAAATATGAGACAAGTCATATCATCTCTAAGGTGCCTTGCCTGCTCTAAATCCTAGTACTGATCACTGGAGAAGGATGTCTGGGGCAAATAGAAAGGCTAAAGTAGCAGGGATGCTACCCAATGGGCTCTCCTGTTCTTTGTCACTGTAGCAAGGTACTTTCGGGAGGGGACTTGTGATTTCATTGGTGTAAGGAACTCCCACATGAGGAAATTCTCTTTATTAATGCAAATTAGCAACTCTTCCATCACTTAGAGTCTTAGGGGGAGCAGTGCAAGTGCCCCCAAGATGGTGCCCAGTATATACACATAGACTTTTACAAAAGGACCCAATTTGTAACTGAGCCCAGTGTCTCACTTTATTCTACTGGGGGATGTGCCCAGTTCATAGGTATTTGCAGCCAGCCTCAGAAGGACAGAGCCCCAACAAGAGTCTGACTCAGTAGAGAAGGCATTACAGAATGTTAAAGCTAGGAGGGACCTCAAAGCATGGAATGTCAGCAATGGGAGGGCCCTCAGAACAGAGAAAGTGGGAGGGATCTGAAAACATAGTCAGAGCTAAAGGCCCTTAGACATGGAATGACACCTTAGAAACCATCAAATCTGATCTCTTTGTTTTTCAGATAAGGAAACTGAGGTCCAAAGAAGGACAACCCTGCCCCAAGATCCATCTGGGAGTTTTCCTTTGTCCTTTGTAGTCAGTTAGGACCTCCCACCCCAGGAAGGTAGAGAAACTTCCTGGCCCTTTTTCCCCAAAGTTCTGTCCCTAACCTTCTGTTTGACTCATCCTTCATAGGACTGCAGGGAGCCAGTCCTTTTCACCTCCCAACTCAGTCTTCTCAGCTTCCTTAGCTACCCAACACTTTCCTAGGTCACCTGGGAGAGATGGCATCACATGAATGGGGGAAATCACTAGATGCCTTAGATGATAGCCACTGTCCAAACCCAGACCTCATCCTGACGGAGGTCAGGAAACCAAGACATCCCACCATTGGCAATACCCTTGCTCTTTCCTGGGAAGCCCACTGCAGAAGGAAAGATTGGGCTGGAGGTGACCCTCAGGTCCTCTATAAGTGACACAGTATCCAAAGGCCTTCCATGGCCTTTGTCCCAAGAAGGAGGTGTCAGGAGTCACTGAGTAGCCTGCTGTGGGCACCAGGAGGTATCAGGATAGAGGAGACAATGGAGGGATCGGAACCTGCCAAGAGAAACCAATAAAAGAAAAGAATGAGACTCCCTCTCATCCTCCAACTTCCTCCATGAGTCAATGTTCAAGTGCCTGAAGCCCAGACTCTGCTTCCTCTCTCTATTCGGTGAATGCCTGAGGCACTCCCTTGGATGAAGCACACTGCTTAGGGAGGGGGGTGAAGGAATGATGTGGGGGCGAGGTGAGAAATTCCTATAGGTCATGGGTGTCAGTCTGAGGGACTGTCATCTCCTATTGAAATTGAGGGGCTAGGAGAGGCAAGAATGGTGCTCCTATCCACCCTTGGAATACATGGAAGTATAATTTTATAGGCTCCAAAAATCAATACACATACCCACATAAATTTCCTCCACATCATCTTCCATAAGGTTCTATATCACCCCAAGGGGAAGAATAAGGATCACTGTGTATAAAATGGAGAGGAAAATTCAGGTTTCAGCATAACAAACATTCTAGTCATCAGAGCTGTGCTCATCATATTGAGCTCTCTGTCACTAGAGGTGTTTGAGTGGAAATGGGATGGCCACTTGTATGTAGGGCATATGGGGGGGGGGGGGTGAGGACATTGCTACTCCAAGAGCTTCCCAGGTTAATCTCAAAGGTCCCTTCCAATTCTTTGATCCTCAAGTTCCCATTCTCCTAGTCCTGCTTCTTACTCTAGGTTATCTTTATTGTAAACTCTACTGATCAAGCTGGAGAAGTCTTCTGGCTTAAATCTCTTTTCCTGATCATTCCTCCTCTCTAAAAATATAATCCCTTCCCTTTAGCACCTTGGTGGCTAGGTAACAGACCAGAATCCAATGAGAGCAAAACAATCCAAGCCCTGCCCATACATAGTTCCCTTCTCTCTAGCCACATCCACCCTCTTCATCTCCCCCCAACCACAATCTCATCCCCTCTGGATCCATCAGAGGAGGACACACCTGGAGGGGTCTTCTTGTGGAGAGAAGGGGCCCTCCAGGTCAATGGCATTGAGTTTCTTCTCAAAGACTCCATAACTGAGAGTGACCTAGGTGGACAGAAGATAAGAGAAGAGTTTGGGGAGGGAAGGGACATGGGAGTAGGCTTAGAGATGAGCGGAAAGAATGATGGATTTGGACTCAAAAGATACAGGTTCAAATCTTGCCACTCCTAATTACAACCTGTACAACCTTGGACAAGTCACTTAATTTCTCCAGGTCTCAGTCTCCTCATCTGCAAAGTGAAAGAGTTTGATGACCAAGAAGGTCCCTTCCAGTTCTAAATCTTTGATCACATAACTATAACTGCTGAAGACCCAAGGCTGTCCAATGGTTCAACACTGGAAACTGTTAGAATTTTATTCCACAGAAATGACATTAAAGAAGATGCATTTCCCTCTGCTTTGCAGATGCACCCTAAGGACCCTTGGGCCTTTCCATCTGACTTGCAGCAGGAACCTACGATACATGTTGTTTCCCTCTATGAGAGTCTGAGCTCCGGTAGAGTAGCCATGATCTTGCCTTTCTGTTTGTATTCCCAGCATTTAGCACAGTGCCTCGCACCAAGTAAGTGCTTAGTAAATGTTTTTTTCATTTACTCATCCCATCATGAGATTCAAGCATGGGACAAATAAGATTCTTTATCATACAACCTGGGATCTTGGGACATGAACCATGAACATCATCCTCAGAAAATCCCAAAGACAAGTGACCCAAAGAATAACAAGTTGATGTATAATGGGAATAGGGCCATATCATAATACCCACCATAACTCTCTAAAGACTTTGTGGAAGAAATGTATGATGAGCTTGAAGTGGGCTGGTCTTACCGTGAAAAGGAGAAGTAAAAGATGGACAACTTTAATCCATCAGCCAATGGACACATATTAAGAACCCACTATGTGCCAAGGACAAGGGATAAAAAGACAAAAATAATACAATCCCTGCCCTCAAGGAACTTATATTCTCTTGGGGGAGGCAACATGTGCACATCAATCAAGAAATACATGAACATTTATTAAGTGCCTGCTGTGTACCAGAAGCGGTGGATATACAAAGAATGAAACATCTCTACCCTCAATATGCTTGCATTCTGGAGTATTAAAAGAATCACAAACAGATTCCCTGGATATTGAATGACTCCACTTTGGGGGATTATGGAAAGATGTGCGCAAAAGCCACTCAGGATGAAGGACGAAACACCCACACAAATGAGGGACCATCTTAGAACATTAAATATCAGAGCTGAGAAAGACTAATTCATTAGAAAGAGGACCTAGGGTCAATCTCAACTCTTCCACTTACTACTTTTATGACTCAGTGCCTCAGTTTCCTCCCTTGTAAAATGAGTGATTGAACTAGATGGCCTCTGAGGTCCCTTCCGGCTCTGCTTCTAAGATTCTAAGACCTCAGAACATAGAACGTTAAAGCTGGGAGGACCCTTAGAGCCCTTCTATTCCACAACTCTCTTTTTATAGAATTAGAAACTGAGGGTGAGAGAGAAGTGACATACTCAAGGTTATACAGTGAGTTAGGGGAAGGGACACCCCAATGGGACAGAGGAATAGGTATATTTGATACCCCCACCCCAGGAATAGCCCTTGGCCCACCTGGCATTCCAACCGACTTCCAGCGCATTCTCATTCCTCCCCTCTCTCCCAACTCACTTGATTTGGGAGCTGGGCAGCCCCAAGAATCCGCAGGTTCTCTAGGTGGGAGTGGAACAGAGGGCTAGGGAGCAGGCGGCGCCCCAGCTTGCACTCAACAATGTAGCCCACAGTGCAGTCATCAGGTAGTCGGATCCTCGTGGAGGTGCTCAGGAAATTGGGGCCACTGGGAGAAGAAGAACCCTCTTGCTGAGCCGTTTGGGACAAGATCCAAAGCAGGCTTCACTATCCTTGGCTCATGACCATCCTTCAAAGCCCACCTCCTTCTTGAAGCCTTCTCTGGTCACTCCTTCCCATCAGGCATACCTTATCTCATTTAATCTTCACAATATCAATAGACTGAGACCCAGGAAGGTTGTGACTCATCCAAGGTCACTCAGTCAGGAGGTATGGAGTTTCCTGATCCCAAGTCCAGGACTCTCTATTGTACTATCCTACCTTTCCTTCCATGATCCAATCTGACAATCTCCACCATTCACTGGTAGGGAGTCTTATAATCATAGGTAAGGCAACCAGCGTTGATCAAGTGCTTACTATGTATCAAGCCATATGCTAAGCACTGGAGTTACAAAAAAAAATTGAAAGAACTTGTTTCCTGCTCCATTTTGAGACGAGTAAACTGAGGCCCAGAGAGAAGAAACACAAGGTCATGCAGGTAGGCTCGTAGATCTAGAGCTGGAAGGTAATTTAGAGGTCATCTAGTCCAATAACTTCATGTTACAGATGAGAAAAGAAAGCGACTTTCCTAGGGTCACTCAGCCTGGGATGTGTTAAAAGTGAAATCTGAACCCAGGTCCTATGAGAGTTCCCTCTCAAACACCTCCTGCTAAAGAAGAAGCTTCCCCACAGCCCTACTGCCCAAAGGTACCACCTAGCTGGGCGCTCTCAGGCCACCCCACCAGCCATCCCCCAGAAGTCCTACTCACCTGGCCCATGGCACCATCTTCCTGGCCAATTTTCGATTGATACAGAAACCAGCTCCACCTGTAGCAAACCAGAATCGTACTGGCCTCTGAGGGAGAGAAGAGCAAAGACTGGGATTGGCTGGGGACCCTCTGTGCCCCAGGACATGGCCAGATCCTTCAAATTCCCTCAACCAGAGCAGAAAGGAGGCTCAACATGAGAATTATCCCAATGGCCTCATCTCCCAGTCTCCCCCAAAACAGAGGATGGTACAGTGAAAAGAACATTGGATCTGGTATCAAATGCCTTGGGTTCAAATCTCACCTCTGATACTAGCTGTGCGACCTTGGGCACATCACTGCCTTTCTCTGGGCCTCAGTTTCTTCATCTGTGCATGACAAGATTGTACTAGATGATCTCAAAGGTTCCTTCCATCTCAGACATAAGCCTATGAAGGTCATTTCCAGCCCTGAGAACTTGGTTTCTATGAAATCCCTTCTCCTCCTTGAAGCCTCTCCTGACACCTCCAGTTTCCCTACCTCACCACTGTGTGGAGATGCCCTCCCCTTCACCTTTGAATCCCTCAACCCTTTGAGGTTCCTATGTTTGTACACCTAGGCAACTCCCATCAGTTGGCAACTTCCACTGTCTACAACCCTCCCTTCCTACTCCAGATTAGCCAAATGAGGAGGAACGCCATCAAGACGTGTACTCTCATCTCAACTGGGCCACCATTGCTATATAGCCTTCTTTTTAAACATTTCTTGGTGATCCCCTATCACACCTCCCACAATAATTCTTCCCAATCTTCTATTCTCCACCCCTAACAAGCCTTTACTATACACTGGCCCTATTCCCTCATAACGGATGACCTCATCTGCCTTTTTTACTGAGAAAATGGTGGCCATCTGATGGGAAATTAATTTAACTCTCCCCTCAACATCTATAAAACTCTCAGTATTCTCATTCATCCTTTCCTCCTTCCCTCAAGTTTTAAGAAGATAAGGTAGCCATCCCTTTTGCCAGGGCTAATGATTCTACTTGTACCCTCCATCCCACCATCTCAAATCATGGTTCTGACATTTACTACCTGTAAATTTGAGGTAGGTTTGAGGTAGGTTACTTAACATCTCTGGGCCTCAGTTTCCTGTTCTGTAAAATGAGAGTCAGCCTAGAAGACGTCTAAAGTCCCTCCCAGCTCTGACTCTCTGATCATCTGCTCCAATTGTCCTCCTCGTCCTTGCTCCATCAATCATCCCCTCCTCTCAAGCATCTTTAATCTCTTCTTCTTGGCTCCTTTCCCCAAAGCCTATAAATATATTCAGGGCTTCCCCAAACTAAAAAAGGAAAAAAATTAAGCTTCCTTGACCTTGACCATCTGCTTAATAAATGCTTTGTCATTTCTTCATTCTCTCCTCCCCGTCCTTGCCAAAATCCTAGAAAGAGCCATCAACACGAGCTGCTTCCATTGATTTCCTCACCACCCACTCACTCCTCAAACCTTCAAAGTCTGGCTTCCATCCCCACCAATCAACTGCAACTGCTGTCTCCAAAATCAGTGGTTATTTCCTTACTGATGAATCTAATGACCCTTGCCTCATGTGAGGTCTGCCTTGACCTCACATGACTTGCCTAAGGCACCTGATACTCTTGATCTCCTCTTTTGGTTTCCTGACATGACATTTGTCAAACGCTTCTCCTTTTTATTCCATTTTTTTTTTGTCTTTCAGGCTTGCCACTTTGGCCCTAACTTGCTGTAAGACCTTGGGTAATAATAATAGCAAATATATTTTCTCCCCCTAAGAATTCAAGTCATAAACTGCACCAAACCCAGAGCATCATGACAGACGGGACTGTTGGCCCCACTTGCCTGGATATAACATGGATCCATAAAACTTTAAGTGCAATGATTTCAATGGATGTCACATACCAAAGGGATCAGAGTTCTCCAGCCTACATGGAATGAAAAACTTTCAAAACATAGAGACCTAGTGGAGGAAATCTTAAGCATCTGGGAGCAGAGCTCCCAGAGCTGTCCCAAGGATGTCCCATGGAGAGCCTACAAAGGATAAGCTTACATCCCAACACTTGAATATATTTATAAAAATCAACTATTTTATCTACCATCATCTACAAAATGTTTAATAGGGAAGGAAACTGGACCTGTGATTTAATTGATATAGGGAACTCCCAGGTGAGGAAAATCCCTCTACCAATGCAGCTTGGCACCTTCTCTGCCACCTAAAGTCTTACAGCACTCAGTGGTTCAGTGATGCACCCAGGGTTACACAACCACCATGAATCAGAGGTGAAACTGGAACCTAAATCTTCCTGGTTTCTCAATCAGCTCTTTATCTACTAGACCACATCAAACATTAAACAAAGCAAGGCACCAGCTTTTCCCAGGACAATTTATATTTGAACTTCATCACACACATAAAAAAAGATGAGAGGGGCAGCTAGGTGGCGCGGTGGATAGAGCACCGGCCCTGAAGTCAGGAGGACCTGAATTCAAATCCAGCCTCAGACCAAACACTTGACACTTACTAGCTGTGTGACCTTGGGCAAGTCACTTAACCCCAATTTCAAAAAAAAAAAAGATGAGAATGAGATGATAATAATAGGAGTAGCTTGCATGCTTATAACACTTTGATGTTTACAAAGCCTTTCACACACACATACACATTCCCTTATTTAGTCCTGACAAATAACCATGTGATGTAGTCTTTTTACAGGTGGGGAAAACTCACCTTTTACAGGTGAGAAAACTGAGGCTTAGAGAGGGAAGTCTTAGTTAAGGCAAGGGAAGGGAATAAGCATTTATATAGCACCTACTGGACAGCCAGGTGTCAGAGTGGGTAGAGTGTTGGCCCTGGAATCAAGAGGGCTTGAGTTCAAATCCGGCCTCAGACACTTCCTAATTGTGTACATCTGAGTGAGTCACTTCACCCTGTTTGCCTCAGTTTCCTCATCTGTCAAATGAGTTGGAAATGGAAATGGCACACCACTCCAGTATCTCTGCCCAAAAAAAATCCCAAATGGGGTCACAAAGAGCTGGACATGACCAGTCAACAAAACAACAATGGTACCTACTATGTGCCAGGCACTATGCTAAGCACTTTACAAATATCTAATTTAATCCTCACAACAACCCTCTGAGGTAGGTGCTATTATTATCTCCATTTTATACCTGAGGAAACTGAGGCAAACAGAGGTTAAGCGACTTGCCCAGAGTCATACAGCTAGTATCTCAGGCCATATTTGAACTCAGAACATCCTGATTCCAGGCACTGGAAAAAGACTTCCCCAGGGTCATGAAACTAGGAAATGTCTGAGGCAAGATTTGAATCCAAGCTCGCTGACTTCAAATCTGTCACTCTATTCATTGTTCCACTGGGGGCAAATCACTTCCTCTCTCTGGGCCTCGTTTTCCTCATGTGCAAAATGAAGGATCAGAGTTCCGGAGCTAGGATGGACCTCAGAGGATATCTGGTCAACCTCTTCAGTCTATAGATAAGAAACTGAAGCCCACGGAGGTTAAGTGACTTGCCCAAAGTCACCAGGCAACATGGACCAGAAGCAACATTCGAACTCAGGTCTTCTGATCCCAGAGACAATGTTCATTCTACTGTCCAATGCTTATGGTCACTAAGTCCCCAATCAAAGTCATCTTTGTCTCCCTCTCCCCTGCTCTGAGAACTCCCAGCCAACATAGGCAGTAGGGGGGCAGCACTAACCATCTGGTTGTTGGGCATTGGCTCTGAAGCCTCAATGGGCCTGTTCAGACTTGGTTTCCCAACGTACACATCCCAGGTGGGTGAGAAGGAGGACAGGAGCGTCAGCAGGGGTTCTGGGTTCAGGTAATTGTCATCATCCAAGTGGCAGAACCAACTGGGAGAAAGAGACAGATACAGTAATCTCTCAGCCAGACTCTTGGGGCAGAATCTGGAGTCCCCAGTCCCTCTAGCCTCACAACAACCCAACAGGAAAAGCCCCTGAGGTAGCGTTAGAACCTCTTACATGAGAAGGAGGAGATTCTAACTGAGAACTGAGGGAAAGGCTAACTGGCTAGACAGCAGTTTGTCAGAAAAAGAGCTGGGGGGCTTAGTGGACTACAAGCTTCACAAGCTAATTTGATATGGATCTGCACTAAGTGAAGCTTTGTGTGAAGAACTAGATAGGTGCCAATCTCCCTCTGCCCCTGTCAGGCTACATCTGGGGGCTGATGGTCAGTCCTCAGCACCAATGTTCTACGCAGGACATTAATAAACTGAAGAGTCACAGAGGAGGCAAAGAATGGTGAAGGGCCTCTGCAAATGAATGAAAAAACCTTTATTTAGCACTTACCATGTGCAATGAGACAGTCCCAGCTTCAAGGAGTTTACCTTCTAATTGAGAGTGATCACACGTATGGGCTATTCAGCCTCATTGTGGGATAGAAAGACCTGTATGTCTTAAAGTGCATGGGAGGGGCAGAATAGCCTTCTTCTGGAGGTGGTGGGTTTGATGACATCTTAGAGGGATTCCTTTTCATATGAGGGCTAGATCAGCCAGCATCTGAGTTTGCCTTCGGTTCTGGGTTCTGAGATTCCTGGGCAAGCATCTTCCATTCTCACTTTCTGGACAAGCCTCTCCACTCTGCATCAGTTTCCATGTCTGGTTCAACTCCACCAGGAACAAGGTAGTCCTCCCAGGTTAAATTCCTCACCTCTAATCTCATCATCATACTGCTAACTCAAGCCTCTCCCCCTGAGGGTTGAGTATCAAATTCTTCCCAATGCCTTCCTTTATAGATGGTAGAAACTGGACTTTGGGACTCTCCACTCCATTTGCTGCTCTGCCTGGTCATGCTGGGTACCCTCTGGTCTCTCCTCCCAGCTTTCCTGCTTTCTTTTGTGTGTCGTCTTCCAACATTAAATTGTAAGCTCCTTGAGGGCAAGGACTGACTTTCTTTTAAGTAATTGTATGCCCAGTAGATTAGCACATAGTAGCACGTAGTTTAATAAATGTTTATTGAGAGGCTATATGTATATTGGATAGGATTAGATGGGCTTTAAGATCTAACTAGGATATGATGAGAGAAATGAACTTGAGGCTTTTGACCAAGAGAAGGGATGGGAGGCAAGGGGGCATTATAGAAGATTTTGGCATATAGGAAGGCAAAGGGGAGGGTGGATCCCAGGCAAATCTTTAAAGCAGAGGACGTTTGCACTGCATGTCCCCTCCCTTTCTCATTCTGTTCTCTGGCCACCTAGAAAATACAGCCCAGCACTAACCAGTGCCCCAGATTCCCTTTTATCATATCCAAATCTTTTCCCCTCCATTTTACAGATGAGGAGTAACTGAGCCTGAGAGATTACGGTGTCTTGGCCAGGATGACAGCTAGAATTTGAGGCAGAATAGAGCTCAGGTCTTCCTATCGACTCTATCCACTGCACCACCTAGTTGTGTGGTGTTGGAAAAAGAGATGAGAAGATCTGGGTTTGAATTCAATGTCTGACATTTTTTGGTTACGAACTTAGAAAAGTCACTGAATTCTCTGCCTTGGTTTCCCCCAGGCAGAATTGAAGTAATGGCATTAATAGTACCACAAGGCTGTTTCAAGGAAAGTACTATCTTAAAAAGTGAATCATCGGGCAGTTAGATGGCTCAGTGGATAGAGCACCGGCCCTGAAGTCAGGAGGACCTGAGTTCAAATCTGGCCTCAGACCAAACGCTTGACACTTACTAGCTGTGTGACCCTGGGCAAGTCACTTAACCCCAACTACCTTAAAAAAAATTAAAAATACAAAGTGAATCAGCAATATTCCCTTTCCCAAATCTCCCTTTCCTGAGAGTGTCATCTCTCCTAATTAGAGTGTAAGATCCCTGAGAACAGGAGCTGTCTCCCTTTCTCATTTGTGGCCCTGTCACTTAACACAGGGCTTGGCACAAAGTAAGAGCCTCATAAATGCTTTTCCATCCCAATTCACTCCATTCCTTCAGTGTGAAGGCACCCAGCCAACAGTCAAGAGGAAAACCATCTAATTAAATGAATTCACACCGAGCTGTGAACAATCCATAACAGCCAGAAATTAGAAACAGAAGAAGGAGTCTTCCCTCCCCAAGACCATCTTCCTTTTAAAAGAAATTCTACTCATCCTTCATGACCCAGCTTAGGTGCCTCCTCCTCTGAGAAACCCTCCTTGACTACCCCAGTCCACTTGAGCTCCCCCTCTCTGTGGATTGCTAATTTGTGTATGGTCCATGTTACTTAT